TTGTTTCTCCGTAATATGGTTGAGTTTTATCAAAAAACACACAGCACAGTCAGGATGGACTGCTGATTAAATATATACATATATTGAGTTCGTGTTGACGTATTTTCCGCACCAAAAGCTGTTACACATGCCAACGACAATTTATTTTGCGAATGAATTTTGAGATGTGAATTATTCTGTTATCAACCGAAGAAGAAAGAAGAAAAAAAAACACAGTGTTATTTTAAGTACTTTTTCATCAGAAATTATTGATGAAATCATAAGCATATCGCATACGTTGGGACGGTTGCGCATGCGATTCAATTATTTACATCTGGTGTTTGAAATTCAAAAAGAGAGAGAGAGAGAGAGAGAGAGAGAGAGAGGGAAAAAGGCGAAATTGAATAAGCCGCCGGCTTTAACAAAAGCTACATTGAAAAGGACAAATAATAATACATCTCGGTTACCTTCAAAGATCCCGGTGTGTCTCTCTTTTTATTTCTGAGACGGGATGAAAAAGCATCGTGTTTCGTAATCATAATCCTATTTTTGCCACATGTGATCGTTGAGTATGATCAATTTGAGCTGGTTGTTCACATAAGCCAAATCACTACTAACCTCAAGTGGATAAGTATGCGAAGTGAGTTTTGGTATTTCTGACTAAATTGAGCAAGTAAACGATTTTTTTTCTTAGAATTTTATTTTGATAATCGTTGGAGGAGTTGCACATCTATTTGCTATTCATTTTCGGTTCAGCGCCTGGTAGATTGTGATTGCGCGCACGTTAGCACACACTCAACGAGATTACACTGAACAATATTTGCTAAATGTGTTAATCCGACCGCTTGAATATATTTCGAGGTCTTTCTCAAGCGAGAAAATATACACACAAACACCTAAAACATTGGAAGGCATATGCATTGAAATCTTCTCACAAATATCAAATATTTCTATGTTGAAATTATCATTTTCGCATCGATTTGTGCAAAAATATGCTCGCCACATACACAGTAGCAATGATGAATGGAACAGAACGAAGGAAAAAAACGTAGAATTTTATTATGGCAAATGAAAAATGGAAAAAAAGAGTAAGCGCTAATAAACGAAAAGAAAAACGTATATAAAATGTTTTTATTTGAATAAATTAAACGGTGTTGCGATGATATTTTATGATTGCCTGACATGCACAATTAAATTTTTAACTCATTGTTCGTTTCAAAAGCGTTTCCACGAATATCATTTGGTAAACAAATCCAAAGCCAAAGCCAAATGTTGTACTTGCTCATCGCATGGCAAAGGTATTGAGAATGTGCCAGCTGGAATGATCCTCGGTACGGGCCTTAAAGTTAAATTTCTGTCACTGTCAGCAGTATTGAATCAATTGACATTTTTCTTTGTTTATGTTGATTTTGCACGCAACAAAATTAAAATCTTTCGAACCACGAGTGTGAGCGTGCGCGTGATCGAATGTCTGACGATAATCAACATTCGGAAGGGAAATAAAAATCACTTCGATAACCAGCAACAAGAGCAACCGCATGTCTGAGGTTTCAGTGTGGCACATTTAGTGCGCATTTCGATATGATAAATATATCCATTTAAAATATTGTTTTATTCCTGTGTGTTTTTTTTCATCTGCTGTTCTCTGTCTTCGTGTTTGATGTTATAATCAGCGGGCTCGTCCGAATCGTTTAGAGGATTTAATTCCCTCTTGTTAAACAAAACAACAAATGTGTTTTCACAACTACTCAATAGAAGTGATCATAAAGGGCGACCTTTTCAAGTGGAAGTGCGAACAGATTGTTAACACACACACACACACACACTCAGTGCACAAAGCACTGGAAAAAAAACACAGAGAAATACAACAAGTAACGTGCTTATGACTGCCCATGTCCACGCAATATATTCATATTAATAATGTGCCACGAAAATTTATGCTTCTTTAACGAATTAACGTAAATACATTGATTAATAGTCCGTTTTTTTTTCTCGTTCATTCGCTCTGTGTATATACTCCACTCGTCGTTGTGTGCTCAACAAAAGAATCAACGTATGACCCGCAAACGAAAACAATTGAAAACGTTCTAATTCAATTATCCGAAACGAAACGAATAATAAAGTGAGTCGTCATACATGTTTGAGATGCATGTAGACGGGGGCATCACACATCATACGTATTGTTTGTGCTTATGCTGAGGCTGTGCCGCTGATATTATTTCAGCTTGACAAAAGAAGACACACACACACACACAGTGGCTTAACCGTATTTATGATTTGATTAAAATGTACGTTGCATATCCCACTTTGTAATGAGATCATTACTTTTAATTAGAAACAATTCAAAGCTATTCAGTTTACTTGAATGCTTAATTCCTTCAACTTATCTACCCAGTTTATTCTATTGATGAATGTTTCCAATTTTTTCCAATATATGTGCACTGGCACATACAGCCTATTAACTCACGAAGCACAAACTACTCATCTTTCTCCTGACAATTGGATACGAAATGACCTAGTGTATTTATTGTGCACTTCACTTTAACTAGATGAATACAATGTCAAATTGTGTAGCAAATGTACACAAAATGATGTGCATGAGATGATGATGGCTGCTGATGCTGATGCTGCCGCTTTGTCGAGTTCAATTCCATTTGGCTTGAATTCATTTATCGGCCAGATATTGATCCTATTCTCATTACAAATTCATGTATCTGTTGTACACGCCGACAACCCAGCTCAATTAGATTGGATAATTTTCGTGCTGTTTTTGTCGACCACACTTTATCGCATTGAATTATCAAGTCTCCGGGCATGTAAATGCTGATGGGCCAGTAAAGAGGCCATTTCAATTATGAAATTATTCTGAATGCCTTTTTTCCCAATTTTGATTTTCGGATCAAAAAAAAAAACACACACGAGAAGTTTGCTTTTTTGCGAAGCACGGCGAAAAAAACAACAACAAGATATATCGCTGATCGTGATGACGTCAAACGTATACATATTTCAATTTTTTTAATATGACAAAAAGGCGTAATTTCGTGCGGTGTGTTTGTGTGCGCGTTTGAAACTTTAGATTGCTCACACCAATGACATCGTATCATAAATAAAATTAAAATCACATAAACAGGCTTCGAAATACTTTCACCACTCACAAAAGGAATCAAGTGATTTCTTTTTCTGCTGCGTTGTTTTTTCTCGTTTTCAAAAGCTGTTTCGAACGCATAGACGTGCATTCAGTTTTCCCCCTCTGTACACACATAGAATGCACATACTCACACATAACTCGTTGAAATATTTTTAAAAAAATATATTTTTTCTTCTGATAATTATGCAGTGACTTAAAATGATGGAAACGAATTAAGACGTTATACATTTTCGACGACAAGCAAGAGAAGAAGAAGAAGAAAAAAACCGTTAAAGCAAAAAAACAAAAAAGAAAAGGAAAAAAAAAGTGTAAGATGTCACGATTTGTATGCTCAAATTTGGTTACTTCCGAACATTTAGCTTCAATTCATCGTCTGAACACGTGTTAAAAGCAACAGAATCATTTTATGACACAAATTTATGGATTACTTCTGATTGAAACCCAGAAAAAAAAAACAAAGAACAAATGCGTTGAAAATCTATTGAATCGAACGACGACCGAAAATGTTCAAAATGTTGACGCCGAAGCGGAAAAAAATTCACTGACAAACAGATATCTTGTGGTTGTTAAAAATTGTTCATAATGACTTAACTATGTGTTTTTCGTAATTATACTTGCCATTAAGCATGCGTATTTGTTTAAACAACAACAAAAAACAAAAAACGAATGTGTTAAAAAAAAAACAACAACAAAAACAAAAACAGAATGAAATACTGACGAATAAAATATATATGTATACATAAACGAAGGGAAGGAAACGATCGAAGAAAGAGAGAGAGAGAGAGACAAAAAAAAAACAAAATACTCAGAATGAATGGAGTAAACATTTTGTCGTGATGTTCTGACTTTACTTGCATATAAAAAAGAGTTCAATATTAACACATCGAAGAAGAAAAAGATATTCACAAAGAACAAACAAGAGAAAAACAAGGGATAATCGATCGATAAAAAAAAAACAGATTTGAAAATGACCAACGAATGGATCGATTGGTCAGGTGAAAATCGTGTACGAACACCGTTACGCGGTGGTGGTTGCAATAATTTCTTAAATAATAACTATACAAATCAAAAAGTTATCTTCGGAATGGGACTAAAAGCAAATACACTAATGAAGTCTACACAACGACCAAAAGGTAAAGACAGTTTTGGTGGCATTTGTTTGTTAAACACACACACACACATTCACATAGACAACAACAAAAAATAAGCAAAAAAATTCGATTCAAATGTATGAAACTGAAAATTTCCCCACATTTGGAAAATCCTATGCAATTGCAAACCTTTTTTCTTCTTCTTCTTCTTCTACACTTTTCTGATCCGTACCAATCAACACACAGACTAAATGTTGAACGATTTGCTCTTTTTTCTCTTTCTGAATGAATGGCAAATGCGCCATTTTCAACAGACAATATGTCATTTGACCTCGATAGTCGAAGCAGAAAAAAAATCCTCTCGCACAATGCGGGCATTAACTCGTTGAACAATGCGAATTTGTCAAGGATTTACTCTTCCATTAACATAGCAATGGCCAACAATGTGTTCTTTAGGAATGAATTCCATAACAAATGTTTGTCACATTTGTTGACAATTAGAAACTGTGGCACCGTTAGGCTTTGAACAACTATAGAGAAAAATCTCTTTTTGACTTATTGACAAACAATGTGTATGCCTTTCGCATTAAGAAGGACATTCCAGAGTTAAGCCTTGATTTTGCACAATGTTGTGCAGTCAAAAACCCCCCAAAAAAACCCGAAGAGTGAACGGAGCAAAAGGAGAATTTTTACACATTTCACACGTTTTCAACGGCATGCTTGCGCACACACTGATTTCCGAATTGTTGACTTTAATTGCATTTGTTCATTTCCATTTACAGATATGCCCGTTGGTATGCCCCCATTGACGCCTGGTACAAATAAAAAATTGGCCGAAGTATTGAAAGCATCGTTTGCATCTTGGGAAAAAGAAGCACAAAATCGCAATATTACTAAAGGTAAGTGAATGATATGGGTAAATATTTTTTTTCCCATTGACTACTTTGTTAAATCCATATAACATAATTGACTACTTTGTTAAAATTGATCAAGTTTATCTTGCATACACTTTTTCAATGCAACATGAATATCATATATCCTCTCTCGCTTCGTGGATAATTTAATTTTTTCTTTTCATCCATTGATGTTTAACATTGAAAATCGTCCATTGCTCAAGATTATTCCATACAAATTGTATTTTCCCTCCAACTCTTTTTCATCGAAGCATTACTCATGAATCGGCCAATCAACAACATGCTATTCTTCAATGATGTGAAAAAAATATTGGCTGGCCATATTCATAAGAAGAAAGAGAGAGAGAGAGAGAGAGAGAGAGAGAGAGAGAGAGAGAGAGAGAGAGCGAGAAAGAGTAGGAAAAAAGACGGTGTTGGAGGAAGTTATAAAGGAATCCCTTTAAATGCATTCGATTTATTCGCATTTCACATTAAATTTCATTGAGAAGCCACTTGCTTTTGTGTGTCTGCGCGGCTAATTGATTTAGAAATGTGAAATGAAAGCCATTTAAACGTGTATGCATCACAGTGTGGAATAAAGCATATTATCGTGGGTCATGATGATATGGAGTAAAAAAAAATGGTAGAAAGTCACGTATCCTTATCTGATGTCAACAGGTAGAAAAGAAAAACAAGAGTATTAAATTGTGATGCTCGACCGAAGCGATTGCCATGAATACGGGAAAAAAATATATCGTAAAATTGAGTGACGGTGCACAAATGTTTTTTTTTTCGGGCGAATTATTTTTGTCTTTGTACATTTTCAAAAGGGAAAGTTTGCAAATATCATTTATTGAGTGTACTTATGAAATCGTCCACACAAACAATGACCTCATGAATGGATATTGGCGCGCGTGAGAGAGCAAAATGCCATTAACTTTTTCTAGTACAAGACATTTTAATCGCAAACGCAACCGATAATGTCATTTTCCTGTGAATGGTACGTTGTGTGTGTGTCTGCGTTTTTTTTTTTCATCCACTCTTCTCGTCGTCGCTTCTTCATTTTAAGCGGCTGACAGATTGTTCATGAGTTGACATTTTTCATAATCAAAGCCGCTCGTTCGTTCAGCCGTATATGGTGCAATGTACGATGATTACGAAGATTGCGGCATCGAACATTTAATTTTAATTTATTTCTGCTTAAAGTGTGTATGCACACAACATCAAAGAGATGTGACTTTGCTAAGGAGACGAAGGACCCGCAAATCGGTTTCGTTTTATCTTTGCGCATCGACGCATCCAGTCCACTTTGCTCATTTGATTGAGCTGCACGAAATTAAAATTGGAAATGTGTGCGTGCGTGCGTGCGAGTGAGCGAGTGTGTGCATTTGGAAAAGTAAATAAGGGCGCGTGAATTTTGTGGCCCATACTGACAAATTACAAATCACAGATTTGCCCGTAGCCAAGTCGCATTTCAATACAGCGCGCTTATTATTTTGTTTACCAATTAAACATTTGTTAAGAAGCGCAATTGCCAAGACACAAACAGCGCGAGGTGCTAAGACACAAAATTAATTAGGATCATGTGGAATGCTCAATGAAACTAGCGTTCATATATCTTTTGGGAGATTAGCGCCATGGTTTGCCCCCGGGCAATTTGTTCAGGTTAACGCGCTCGTTGTACGAATGAGAGCAACAGGGCACACAAACTTTGCACTCGCTCACAAATGCTCGAGATTTACTTGTTCGGTTTTTTTTTTGAATATTTATTCGGTGTTATTGTTTTTTTTTTCTGCTGCTGGTGCGATGCCACCAGAGATGAAACAATCGTTTGCAATTACATGAGAGAAGTCAGACCACAAAATCTTGTTCATTTCTCTCTCCCGAATTTCTTTCTATTCCATCGCACCACTACGACGTTTGCGCTCCATTTTAACATGCGATTTAATGGTTCGCTAATTTAAGAGGAAGCTCTCGATGCTCTTTGATGTTTTGCTACTGCCCATCGCACAGCATGCATTATATATACACACACACACACACACATTCTTTCTTTGCGCTATCTTTTTTCTCCATTTGAAGCGAAATTTGTTTTCAAAAACGAACTCAGAGAAAGAGAATAAAATGTAAATAGAAAAAAGCCATCAAGTTGCCTTAATTGAATGAAATTGTGATCTAATTTTAACTACACACGCCAATTATTGCCTTTGGATGAAGAGAGGTAAAAAAAGAGACGTAATGAGAAAAATTGGTAAAGCCGGATATAAGAGAAAGAAATCTTACACGTTGAAATTTACAAATATGTTTTCTAACCGTATGCGTCGCCAGAAAGGTCAGCTAAAATATGTGAAGAACATGACAACTACCGAAAAAAAACAAATTGACCATAGTGTATCTACCTTAAACACTTCCCAAGTTTTTATAACGTTTTTATAATATACCAAAACTGATGCAATTACAGTTTTAATATGAGCGAAAGGAGGTAGAGAAAGAGAGAGAGAGAGAGAGAGAGAGAGAGAGAGAGAGAGAAAGAGAGAAAAGAAAACACTGAAAACGCTTGAAAAATACGCTCACGAATAATGAGGGCTAATCGGAAATAGGCTTGATGTTGATTTTTTCATGTTACTCCCCAAAACTCACCGCTTTTTGAACTACACACAATTATGCTTGATCTCATTTAACTCGAACGAAATTGATGATGGAGCTGCTTGTGGTGTGGACAGAAAAAGCTGTCGTGTGCGTTTGGTCGTTCGCTTTTTGTTCTCGCTAATTGTACTATTACGGAATGTTCCCCAATGATTTTCACCAGAATTGTTTTAGCGTGTGCAAAAGAAAAACAGTTTCTAAATGCTTTTCTTTCTGCCGTGATCAGATCCCCGTCATTGGAGCGAGGAGCACGTCGTTTGTTGGTTGAGCTGGGCTACAAAAGAATTCTCACTGGAGTGTGTGAATATTGAAGCATTTTCAAAAATGCGCGGTCGTGATATGGTTGCCTTAGGCCGAGATGGATTTTTAGCAAAAGCTCCACCATTCACCGGTGATATTTTATGGGAACATCTAGAAATTCTGCAAAAAGGTAAGCAAAACATTTTAATTGGTAATTAGAATATTGTTGTAGATTGAATTTCATTCATGTTTTCAAATTGGCCCAACGGTTAGAAGCCGAATAATATCTTTTTGGCTGAAAAAATCTTTTCATAGAACTTTATGATTCATTTGAATGAAATTTGGGGTTTTTTTTTTTTAAATTAATATCTGAAATTATACGGTTCACATATGATGTTTTTTAATATTTAGAACGAAGAAAACGGAAACATTTGAGTAAATAGAACACAATTAAATTGATAACACGCAAATAAAACAGGAATAATAGCCACTGAGCACTAGGAATTCAGAGGAAATTCACAGATTTGAGTCATCAGTTTGAAGTAGTTGAATTTTTGATAAAATTGACACTGTACCTACTGTCACAAATTGTAAAACCAAAAGTATTTCGTCATTTTTTTCTTTTCGACGCGACGATCAGAAAAAGGAGAAAATTTTGTGATTTTTGTTTTTTGATCAGATTGTCCGAAATTTGAAATGTTTGCAATCCAGTATATTCAATAGCCCAATCTAATCGTAATGAAATCAGCATTCTATTCAAACAACACACACACACACAATACATGGCCGATACAGTGGCGGAATCCATCTGAGCATAGCACGTTCATGCCTTCGTCGTCATCATCATCATCATCGTGTTGAAAAATTGCATTAAATTCGTTATTTAGACATGTAATTCAAATGGTTGAATGGAATATTTATAAAACATTTATTACATTTCATGTTATGTATTAGAGCGAAATAGGAACATTGTGTGCAGGGCAAATACAGCCGCTTGAATATTATATTAGCTTGGCTCAGCTTTTTTGTGTGTGTTGAAATGAAAAAATGAAATAAAATAACAAAGAATTCTATAGTTTACATCAAATAGATGTCTGACTAAAAATAACAGACACACATGCAGTGTGTGTCACAATAGAAGCGAACCGAAATGAAATCAGTCAAGTTAGAAGAATTGAGTGAATCTAGAGAGAAAAGCGAGCAACGGCAATAGCAAAAGTAATAGCAGCCGCAGCAGGAGAAATATAATACATCCAACACTCATTAAAGCACACTCTCTAAATGTATATTTGCATAAATTTTTTTTCATTCAAATTGAATAATATGCTTTTGATTTGTTTTAGTGGACAATGTGGTGTTTCGGATTTTTATTCACCAATTGTTGGCATGAACTGTTTGATCTGGTCTTCGTCTCTGGGCAGAATCGTGTCCAATGAATACAGCTTTTAATACAAATCAAGAAAATCTCTTTGGTGTGTTCGCTCTTACCTTTAGTTCGCCGCCAAAACGAGAAAAAATCAACGAATAAATAGCGTCACCCTGACTTATCATGTCAGCATGTAAAGGGCTGTGACTGCCAATTTTCATGTTGTCTCATTTCAATAGGACAATTTTACAATCTTGTTAACGTCGAACAAAACACTGGGTCAGCCATTTTTTTCTTTTCTCTTCACTCGGTTCGCTCACTCAATTCGTTTATTATTCAATAGAAGTGCTTGATTTCATGTTCGATTATAACGAATGAAAAAAAAAACAAGAATCGAGTTCCCGAGATTCGCATCTAAATTGAGTTATTAAACTCTCACTATTATAGTTACTCTTGTCGCTTCTTTTCTTCGTCTCTAGGGGAGGATCTAAATATGCAAAAAAAAAAAAAACGTTCAAAGAAATGATGATGCATTGGCATTTGAATACCTATATGTATGATTGGTACAACCCTTTTTTTCCCTTAATTTGCATATCAACGAACTTTCAGCGTTTGATCAAGAAAGACCTGAATAGATTGAATTCAATTATCGTTTCACACATGGCCAAATCGTTCATATTTACGTATATAAATCGTACGTTGATTGAAATCGTGTAAAAAACAACAACATTTGCTTCGTTTCAGATTGTGAAAAATCATTGGAAAATGTACCGACAAACGTCTATGAATCGGTATGTGGGTCTGAGATATCCGATTTTTTGGGAAATCAACGAACAACACCAAATTCACAGAGCTACACAAATAACAAACCGTTTTCATCGATAACAAACGGTAAGTACAGTACACACACACTCATATATTCCGAGTTTTATAGTTATGGATTTGTATAAACATCATCTTATTTGATGTGTATATACGTGCATTCGACCTCAGCGCATAAATTCTGGTCAAATTGATCAAATTGAGGGCAGCGACTTGCAGCGTCAAATCCTTTGATTTCAATCCTGTGTATATGTGAATGAATCAAAGTGAAATTAGTGTTAAACAACGCAATCATTTTTTAGAATTTATAGTAGTATGTTTAATGTCTGTATAACTAGGGGTGTCAACTGCACAAATGATACAAACAGAAACAAAAAAAAACGAGGAAAAAAAAGCAAAATACTCAACAGACCTCACCGACCGTGCCTCTTTGTCGCATCTCAACCGAATGAAAATGAATAACAAAAAAGAAAAATAAAACAGTGCACTCTGAGCGAGGGAGAGAGAGAGACAGAGAGAGAGAAAGAGCAAGCAAGCGAGAAAAAAAAGAATAACAGAAGCGCACATAATACAAAAACTACTTTCAATAAATATACAGTTGATGTTCTAAACGCGATGTTAATTTATTAAAATTCACGTTAGTCATAGCCGTCACCCATTTGATGTTTATGTATTTAATTTTTATTTACTTGAATCAACGTCAAATGTCAAATGAATCCACGCTCAAACAGAACACAGAAAAAAAAATAAAAGAAAAAAAAACAGTAAAAAAAATGTAGGAAAAAAAGCGCAGCACACAGAGAGAGAATCTACACTACAATGACACCACCAACAACAAGAATAAAAGTAACAATAAATATTGCTGTAATGCGAAGTTTCACATATATACACATATTTGGTTATAAAACGTATCAGCATTCACTGATTGCGACCGTTCCAGTTGAGCTATTTTGAAACAAAAGAAAAACTTCATCGCATCGCTCATTTCATTTTGTGTGTATTTTCGTTTTTATTTTTGTATTGTTGATTCCTGTTTTTTTTTTAATTTTTGTAATTATTGTACCTTTTCGGAAAAAAAATATAGTCATATAGTATGTGTATGCGATCCCCCTTCTTTATATATATATATATATATAAATAGATATTTTTATTTTGACCGTTCGGCTGTTCGACGATATAGAATGAAAATAAAGTAATTTTTGGTGTTTTCGTTGTTTGTGCATTCGTTTAAAAGAACAAAACCTCATCTATTAAATTAATTCAGAAAAGTTAGCTCTTTTCGATACGCATTCGTGAATTGTTTTTTTCTTTTTCAATCCATTTGAGTCTCCTGAGTGCTAAGAGCTATCTCCCTGTGCCGAGCTTGGTTTTTTCATTCGAATCTTCCCAAAAATAAAACAACTCCACGAAATAATAATAATAATAATGAACAAAAACCTTCGAATACACTGCAGCACACTACTTGGAATACGGTGTGTACGATGACGTTTTTGTGTCCGCTTGAGCGAATCCGTCTCTGCATCACATTTATGTATGCAATCTGAAACAATAATACAGCATTGGCCGTACGCATTGCCCACTTGTTGTGAATCAGTCAGCCAACCAGCCAAGCTAGCTCGACGAATACGTTGCTGCTATTATTTCGGAATGTGTGACTCTTCCATTTCATTTGTGTGCTTTTTTTTTTCTTCTTTCTACTCTCAAATGATGAATTCATCGATTCTGTTGGATGCGAATGGAGTTTTGTTCAGTTAATTAAGCTGCATTCAAGTGAGCAAATGTGCAAAATGTGCATTAGTTTCATGCACATTTCTTGTGCATTTCATCCGTTTTTTTTTCTTACCATTAATAAAGCTATGAACCCTTTGCTATGCCGAAGAATCACACAGATAAAATGAAACTATTTCAAATTTCATAAATAACAACAATAAAGAGATGGTCACACTTCAAATCTTAATGGGAAAAAATCGATCGGCCATAAAAAATGTGCAGGTGTGAGACTATATAGTCCATTTGGAAAACTATGGATTTCATTACATTTTAATCTGTTAAATTATTGAATATTCAATATTGACTTTTAACGACTGAAATTATTCATAAAGTCGAAAAATTTATTGGCTTGCTTCGACCGAAAACAGAAACCGAAAGAGAAAAAATAATAATTTACAATTAAAACGAATTTCGCAACGTGTATACGAAATGGAAAAGAACACACACTTTCCTTAATTATAGTCAATTTCATGTTGTATATTTTTGTGGTTCGATAAATTAATATTGTTTTACGCCACACACACACACACACGGTACTGCTGTTATGTTCGGGTGACTCAGCTAACAAAAGCCCCTGAACAAAGGTCATCATCAATCGTGTGTGTGTGTGTGTGTGTTTCGTTTTTGGCGTAAATTCTTTCCAAACACCGTTTTGGCCGAATACCCCTGCGAAACCAGAGCATGCAAAACAGACCATTGTCAATTGTTGATCTATTTAAGATAATGGCGGTGATTGATGATCTCTTGTTGAGACGAAGAGTGTGGCGCACACGATCTCCATTCTTCATTTCGGTTTTGAGCAGAAGAATAGCTCACGCAGAAGCATGCGTGCATATATGAATCGCATGAAAGAAGAAGAAGAAGAATCAATAATAAATTCATATTCGATCCTCGAACACAAAACAGAAGTCATCGATGGTAAAAAAATAATGAAGGAAAAAAAACCGAAACAAACGAAAAAAGAATCAGGGATTCCATGCAATATTGTGAATCAAAATGAACTTGAAATTTGCATTAATCGTAGATATCTATTCTTAAATATTGTTTGGCTTTGGCAGTGTGGCGGCGCGCAATCACACACACACACACACACACACTCGAATAATATCACCGAAACAGAAAACGAATGAAAAAAAAGCACACAGGAGAATCGTTCGCTTAATTGACGACACGGTAGACGCATTTCATTCGCCGTTTATTCTTTTTGTGTGTGCTGTTGCTCTTTTTTTCTCTCTTCTTTTCTGTATTCCAAATAACTAATACAATGAGCAATTAAAAATAAAAAAATGAAACAAGACAAAGCAACGAAAACGAAACAAAGAAATTAAAATATTATATATAGAGATATATTTATTTTTTGTTTTCGTTTATAAGCCAGTTGCTTTGTCCGATAATTTATTCACAGCAGAAATTCAAAAACGGCCATTACATGTTCAGTATCCAAGACTACATTGAAATGAGAAATTCGAATGCAAATTCAACTGATTTTTATTTTATTTGTTCTCTGTTCCATTCGTTCTGTCGTTGTTTCGATTCTTGATGTGTGACTTTTTTTCTTCCATTTCGTTTATTTTTTTTTGTTGTTCTTGTTGTCTTTATGGATTTGTTGTGTTTTTTATTTTCGAAATTTGTTTCCTTCGGCAATATCAGTCGCGGTTTTCCTTATCAACATTTTTTGTTTCTGTTCGTATTCGGCATATCTTTTCGCAAGGATATATAAAATATTTATTTAGAAAAGTCTAGATAATCACTTGGTTATACAATTTAATTAAAGCAAAAGCAGTTGGTAGTTAAGGCTTTGTACTGAGATACAACGCACTGATATGATTGACCATGTAGGCGATTACAAGGGGAACCAAATCGCTTTGATAATTGTTCTGCAAAATTCAATGTTGGCTAGAAATTCGGTTGGGTTTTACAATCATTAGACTTTAGCCACCGCAGAACTGAACCCGTGCGCATAAAAACGACTTATAAAAACGTCGCCGAACAAAGCGAAACACCTATTTGTTACTCGTTCATTTCGGAACAAATTGTACACTGGTATGTTACGCCGACAAATCTATGTTATGTTTTGATCGGCGATTTTTTTTTTGTAATTCATTTTTATGCTCACGGTTTCAACTGTGTGTTGGTGTGTGGCTTGGAATGAACAAGCAACACGAGATGACCTGTGTAAAATTAGGAAGAACAACTACGAGAGAAAAAAAAATCGACCAAATAGCAACAAAATAATAAAAGAGTAAGAGAATTTCGACTGTCGTGTGGTACAATGCATGTTCAACATTGGTTGTTTCAATGTTTTTGTTTTACATATCGTACATATACGCGGTCCCGAGTGTGTTTGTGGTAGTTCAACTCAACAGAGAGCGCACTCATCGAATGAGTTGACTTATTATCCCATAGCGCGTTGAAGTTTTCTCCTGTGAACACACAATGGGTAACAATAAAACAAACTAATCGTTTGAATAAACGCTGTAGCTGTTGGTGCTTTGGGTACAAATAATAATGAAACGTGAGTTAATGACTGTGATTCCTGTCCAGATTATTTTATTGTTTTTACTTCAAAACCACTACTATATGCATCCATATGTGTGTATCTATCTATATGGCCAGAGTATATCTGCTGCTGCTTCTTCTTCTTCTTCTTCTTCTTCTTCTTCTTTTTCTCGCTTTTGTTTTTAAATATGTGCGCTCTTCGCGCTGTTGATTGTTCATGCGTTGTTTTTTTACTCGCTCCCCCTGCGTGTAACATTTAATCTAATTTTGATCGAAGTAGTTAACATATGAACAGAAAAACCGCGACACATACAGCACACATCGAAAACCCAAACCAAATTACAAATTGACATTGTACAGTTATAAAAGATGACCAAGGCTAAAAAAAAATTAGATTTCTGACCTTTTGAATCGAGCGAAATTGCTATAGTAAAAAATGAAGCACAAATCGAATCGCGAGAAAGCTTTACTAATGAAAATAATTCGAGACACACATCCCCAATTCGAGTTTATTTGCTATTTCGGGTTTTGCACGCTGTACGTACCTAGCGATGTGAACAGGCAATTAAGGACAATGTTTAGACCTTTTTTGCCACTAATTTGAAATCAAGACAATTTCGAGTCTTTGGGAAAATGGTGATCATTAATGGCAATAATTTTGAATTATATTTAATGAAAAGGCCAAAAAATGCTTTACTTTGGTGGTAACAGTGTTTCTTGTTCGAATGGAACCGAAAAAAATGGGATCCACCCATTTCTCGATATTTACTATTCAGGCTTTTTCGTTAGTTGAACCCAAC